AAGGAATTGGAGCACCGGGTATGGCAGGAGATTTGGCTGGAAGATGCATACCAGGCGCTCTGGTGGTATGGGGCACAGTACCTGCCCTGGACAGCCGAGCATGACAAGCCAGAGGGAGAGGAGTTTGATGGTCCTGGCTTGTTATGGGAGGCTTTTTCAGAGCCTGAATTTGGGAGCCCTACACAAGCCCGGTTCAGTGATCTCTTGGAGTGGAGGGAGAGCAGGTATGACTGGGACGACACTCACGACATTGAGCAAGACCTGGCTCACCTAGCAACCCTGGAGTGGGAACTGGAGCAGGACTACCGAGATCTCTTCCACTCCATTGAGAAGATTCAGCAGGACAGCAAGGTGACAGAGCCAGAACCAGACCCATTCAGCTGGGAAGACATTGTGGATATTTTCTGGGAAGAACCCCAGGTGGCCGGTAGAGATGGGACCGAGGTCTCTCCACCGGTCCTGCAGGGAATTGGGAGCCCAGTCTCCATTCCCCAGCGGCTGTGTGATTTATTGGGAATTGGGAGCCCAGTCTCCATTCCCCAGCGGGAGATATTGCAGGGAATTGGGAGCCTGAGCTCCATTCCCCAGCGGCAGGCTGAGTTACAGGGGACAGAGATAGTCGCTCCTGTCCCCCAGCAGCAGAATGAATTGCAGGGAATTGGGAGCCCGAGCTCCATTCCCCAGCGGGAGAAATTGCAGGGAATTGGGAGCCCGAGCTCCATTCCCCAGCGGGAGATATTGCAGGGAATTGGGAGCCTGAGCTCCATTCCCCAGCGGCAGGCTGAGTTACAGGGGGCAGAGGTAGTTGTTCCTGCCCCCCAGCAGCCAAGTGATATGCCGGGAAGGCAGTGGGAAGTCCAGGGAGAGGAGAGCAGTGTCCTCCCTCCCCAGCGGCAGCGTGATTTTTTGGGAATTGGGAGCCCAGTCTCCATTCCCCAGCGGCAGAATGATGCTTTGGGAATTGGGAGCCCAGTCTCCATTCCCCAGCGGCAGTATGATGCTTTGGGAATTGGGAGCCCAGTCTCCATTCCCCAGCGGCAGTATGATGCTTTGGGAATTGGGAGCCCAGTCTCCATTCCCCAGCGGCAGCACAGATCATTGGGAATTGGGAGCCCAGTCTCCATTCCCCAGCGGCAGAGTGTCCTACCGGGAATAGAGAGCCCAGTCTCCTTTCCCCAGCAGCAGGACTCTGTATTGGGAGCAGAGACAGTCGGTCTCCCTCCCCCACAGCTGGAAGTATGTATGGGAGAGGAGCTTGTTACCCCCTCTCCCCAGCGGCAGCTTAATGTACAAAGGGGAGACAGTAAGCCCCACAACCGTGCAGATGGGACCGTAGTCTCTACACTGCCAGCACAGGGGGTAGGGACGGTCGGTCCTGCCCCCCAGCGACAGGGCTGTTTAGCCAAAGGGGAGACAGTCGGTCTCCCCCTCCAGCAGCAGAGATGGGTAACCAAAGGGGAGACGGTCGGTCTCCAGCAGCAGGACTGTGCATCTAAAGGGGAGACAGTCAGTCTCCAACAGCAGCAGCAGAGCGGTGTATTTAAAGGGGAGACAGTCAGTCTCCAGCAGCAGCAGCAGAGCGGTGTATTTAAAGGGGAGACAGTCGGTCTCCCCCTCCAACAACCAGGCTTCCACCAGGCTACCCTCCCAGTAGCGCTGGCAACAGGGCAGAGTGCCGCTGGTCTCTGCCCACGCAGCAACCCACCAAGTCAGCGTACCCGTACCCAGCACAGCCGTGGTGAGGCACCTGGACATGGACAAGCTTCCCCTTTACCCAGGTGTAGTAACCATTTATTGTGGGTGGGCTGTGCTGTTGATTATTTGTTGTGGGTGGGCTGCTGGACTAACAAGGGCACTGACCGGCAGGAGGTCAGATACCCTGTTAGTCTGTTTGGAAAAGGGGAGAGATGTGACGAGACCAATCTCGCCACATTGCATTGGAGAAGCCTGGTTGCTCGCCTGCTGCCTTTGGACTATGGCCCCTTTTAAAAGACTTTATTTTTCCATGCAGAAAAGCCATATTCATGCTTTTCTGCCGGTTGTTCGGTAGTTTCAATCTACCGAACAACCGTACGAATGACTGGACCACCTGGGAGCTGGAGTGTGCCGGCAATTAACCTCCCTGAAGCTGCGGTTAACCGCAGCTTAATTGATGAACGCTGGGTGGCCGCCGTTCGTATCCCGAACACGAGGTCGCGGCCATTTTATTTTCATGGAACTAAAATCGGACACAGTTTTGCGCGAACACCGCTGAAGCCGCCGACCTCCCTTCTTGTTCGGTGAAAGCACACGAATGACCCGGTGTTCGGTATTTTTGTGTGAATGTCTTATACCCCAGATAGGAATCCCATGGAGCCCATTCGTATGAAACTGACTGTAAAGACTTTGGCTCCATGGCGATTGAACTGTATTCGTGTAGTCTGAGTGCCATTCACCTAATAATGTGCACTCAGACCTGAGCTATCTGGGGATGTGTTACATGCCTGTGTTTAATGTAGTAAATGTTACTCTATGTATTTTAAAGTATAATGCTGTTTTTGTGTTCCCACGTGTGTAATGGAGTTTTGCCTTTGTCTTGGGAGATAATTGAGTTACTTCCCAATTATCTCCCAGGGCAGAGGGGAGGAAGCCAGGATGCATTGTGGGAATATACTGTGACTGTGTGTCCTTTTTGTATACTTGTCTGTCCCTTGTCACAGTCTCCCATTTGGTCCCCTAGGGGAGTGTCCACCAGGTGGGAGACCTGCATAAAAGCTGGGCAGGTAGCCCTCATTAAACAGACCACTGCTTGACCCTCAACACGGAGCCTTGTCTCGTCTTTGGGGGGATTTACTGTATGCTGCTAAGGACTGATTGCCAGGAGTGTAAGCCGCTTGGAAGCTTTTCCTGTTCGCCTGCTAGCAGCTATTCGTATGGTTCCTGTTAGTTTATTTGAAGTGCTACCTTATTCCCTTGTATGCCGTTCGGGAGTTTGGAGCATTCACTTATTGGCGGTTCGTGAGTTTTGGTGATTATTCAGTAGCTGTGCCTGTCTCTGAAAAGGGGATTATCGTCTAAGCGGTTTTTTCCCCTTTTGTGCAAAACGGTCCGTTACAGAGACTTTACCTAGTAATATATCAATAGATATCTTACTGCAATATATCCCTGGAATAAATTTAGTTAAATGGAAAGAAGATGGGTTTAACTATTTAGGAGATCTCTATACAGGAAATAAGATTAAAACCTTAAATGAAATACTATAAAGTAACCCCCTCCTAAAAACAGAATTTTTAAAGGACCACTATAGTTTCAGAGAAACTGCTATGTTTACAAATGGGTTAATCCAGCCACTAGTGGCTGTCTCATTGACAGCCGCTAGAGGCGCTTCCACGCTTTTCACTGTGATTTTCACAGTGAGAAGGCGCCAGCATCCATTGAAAAGCATTGAGAATGCTTTCCTGTGGACTGGCTGAATGCGCACGCGGCTTGTGCCATGGATGCGCATTCAGCCGATGACGGGGAAAGGAGGAGGAGAGACCCCAACGCCGAGGGAGCTCGGCGCTGGAAAAAAGTAAGGGATTAACCCCTTCCTCACCCTAGAGCCCGAAGGGAGAGGGGCCCAGAGGGTGAGGGGAACCCAAGGACCCTATAGAGCCAGGAAAATGAGTATGTTTTCCTGGCACTATAGTGGTCCTTTAACATAGATTAAAATAAACATATTCAGCCATAAAAAGATAGTCAGCACTATCATTGATGATAAATCCTTAAAATAGAAGGAAGAAATAAAATAATCTCAAGGATTAATAGGATTTTATATGAACAAAAAAAAAAGGGAAAACAAATAGTGTCAGAAAATGGGAACAAGAAATCGGAATTAGGTTCCTGGAGGAAGAATGGGCAAAAACATTAAATTAACAGAAAATACAATACATAATATATTACTGTATGAGAATTATATAAAGATTATTCTTAGATGGTACATGGTGCCTAACACAATAGAAAAAAATTCTAAACAATACCAAAAATTGCCAAAATATTTGTTGGAGATGCAACTCTGATATGGGTTCACATAAACATATGGTTGGACTGCACAAAATTAACTATTCAAAGTTTCCTTTTTCATATTGATTTTCCCAAGATAAACACATTTTCACAAATGCTTTTAATACAGATTTTCATGGCTACAATAATCTGTATTGCCAGACGATGGAAGACCCAATAAATTCCATGCTAGTCAGAAATTAAATTTCAGGTGGATTTCCAGTGACTAATGGAGAAAGCAGTATATATAAATTTTGAAAATATAGAAATTTATAATAGAATATGGAACCCTTGGGAGAAGTAATTATTTAATCGGAGGCCTAGAGAGTGCTCCTCCACCCACCCCACGCCCCACTCCCCACTCCAATGATGAGTGTGCAAGGTTTGAATGTATGTTTGAATCTAAATGTCCCGTGGTCATCAATTATAATACTATATATAAAGTAATATCACGTACAGGGAGTGCAGAATTATTAGGCAAGTTGTATTTTTGAGGATTAATTTTATTATTGAACAACAACCATGTTCTCAATGAACCCAAAAAACTCATTAATATCAAAGCTGAATATTTTTGGAAGTAGTTTTTAGTTTGTTTTTAGTTATAGCTATGTTAGGGGGATATCTGTGTGTGCAGGTGACTATTACTGTGCATAATTATTAGGCAACTTAACAAAAAACAAATATATACCCATTTCAATTATTTATTATTACCAGTGAAACCAATATAACATCTCAACATTCACAAATATACATTTCTGACATTCAAAAACAAAACAAAAACAAATCAGTGACCAATATAGCCACCTTTCTTTGCAAGGACACTCAAAAGCCTGCCATCCATGGATTCTGTCAGTGTTTTGATCTGTTCACCATCAACATTGCGTGCAGCAGCAACCACAGCCTCCCAGACACTGTTCAGAGAGGTGTACTGTTTTCCCTCCTTGTAAATCTCACATTTGATGATGGACCACAGGTTCTCAATGGGGTTCAGATCAGGTGAACAAGGAGGCCATGTCATTAGATTTTCTTCTTTTATACCCTTTCTTGCCAGCCACGCTGTGGAGTACTTGGACGCCTGTGATGGAGCATTGTCCTGCATGAAAATCATGTTTTTCTTGAAGGATGCAGACTTTTTCCTGTACCACTGCTTGAAGAAGGTGTCTTCCAGGAACTGGCAGTAGGACTGGGAGTTGAGCTTGACTCCATCCTCAACCCGAAAACGCCCCACAAGCTCATCTTTGATGATACCAGCCCAAACCAGTACTCCACCTCCACCTTGCTGGCGTCTGAGTCGGACTGGAGCTCTCTGCCCTTTACCAATCCAGCCATGTGCCCATCCATCTGGCCCATCAAGACTCACTCTCATTTCATCAGTCCATAAAACCTTAGAAAAAATCAGTCTTGAGATATTTCTTGGCCCAGTCTTGACGTTTCAGCTTGTGTGTCTTGTTCAGTGGTGGTCGTCTTTCAGCCTTTCTTACCTTGGCCATGTCTCTGAGTATTGCACACCTTGTGCTTTTGGGCACTCCAGTGATGTTGCAGCTCTGAAATATGGCCAAACTGGTGGCAAGTGGCATCGCGGCAGCTGCACGCTTGACTTTTCTCAGTTCATGGGCAGTTATTTTGCGCCTTGGTTTTTCCACACGCTTCTTGCGACCCTGTTGACTATTTTGAATGAAACGCTTGATTGTTCGATGATCACGCTTCAGAAGCTTTGAAATTTTAAGAGTGCTGCATCCCTCTGCAAGATATCTCACTATTTTTGACTTTTCTGAGCCTGTCAAGTCCTTCTTTTGACCCATTTTGCCAAAGGAAAGGAAGTTGCCTAATAATTATGCACACCTGATATAGGGTGTTGATGTCATTAGACCACACCCCTTCTCATTACAGATGCACATCACCTAATATGCTTAATTGGTAGTAGGCTTTCGAGCCTATACAGCTTGGAGTAAGACAACATGCATAAAGAGGATGATGTGGTCAAAATACTCATTTGCCTAATAATTCTACACTCCCTGTATATCTGTTGAGATGCAATGCAAATACATCTTTAACAAATATTTTGAAAATAGCATTAACAAAAGAATGTAACAAATTATGATTTTGGCAATCGATAATACCTCAGAGGAGTAAGCTATCCAAGAAATAGATTGCCAACGTCTGATTTTAATAATAAATATTAAAAAATAACTATTTTTTTTCCTCACTATATATTAAAGAAAATTCTATGGTAATATATATCCACCAGAGGATTGGACAAAAGCAGATTTGGTTCCTATCTTCAAAAAGGGTTCAAAAATCTCTGTCTAGAAATTATCGACATGTGAGCTTAGCTTCTGTGGCTGGGTATTTGAAGGGTTATTAAGGGATCATATTCAGAAATTAATTGGAAAGAACATTGCTATTAGCAATAATCAGCATGGTTTTATGAAACACGTCATGTAAAACATTCTGTTCTATGAATGCTTTTATTTAACATATTTATAGTTAAGTTTGAAATAGGCATCGAAAGCCATGTCTCAGTGTTTGCAGATGACACAAAACTCTGTAAAGTAATACAATGTGAGCAAGATATTATTTTAATGCAGAGGGGTATACATAGACTGGGGGACTGGGCACTCAAATGGCAGATTAAATGTAATGTAGAAAAATGCAGTTATGCACTTCAGGGTAAAGAATGCATGAGCAATTTACACCTTTAATTGTAATGAATTAAGGATAACAACACACAAGAAAGACTTAGGAATTGTTATAGACAACAAACTAGCCAAAATGTGCAATATCAATCGGCAGTTGCTAAGGCCAGTAAGGTATTGCCATGTATAAATAGGGGCATTAATGATATTTCAGGCACCTGTTCTAAAGAAGCATATTATGGCACTAGAAAAAGTACAGAGATGGGCTTCAAAATTAATAATAGTAATGGAGCACTTTATTTATTAAAAAAGGTTAACAAATTTAAATCTCTTTGGTTTGGAAAAACAGCACATCAGAGGGGATGTGATAGCATTTTACAAATATATTCAACACAAACCATTGCCTTGAAATCTATTCATAAAAAAACTATACGTAGGACATGAGGTCGCACATAGACTGGAAGAAAGGCGATATATTCTAAAGCAAAGGAAAGTATTTTTTACAGTTAGAATAATAAGTATGTGGAATTATCTACATAAAACAATAGTATCAGCGCTTAGCAGACCAACCCCTAATTAACATATATGGGGAAAGAGATAAAAATACTCTTAAGTCTGATAAAATATACTTATAAAATGTCCAATGTAAGTGTCAGAGTGAAGGTATATCCAGAAAAATAGTCTGAGTTAGAGGATATTCCCACGCTGTGTGAGGGTTAATACTGATCAAGGGAAACAATTTATTTTTCACTGTATATTTTTGTATCTGCTCGGCTACTTGTATCAACCTTTAAAAAAGGATACTTGACATAGCGTAAAACAGTTATACATTTATTTCCAAAGCATAAAAAAACCCTACATAAAAACTCTTACAAGAAAATGTAGTGAACACTTATTTCTAAGTTTCACAAACAAGCAGTGGTACTATGCGGTGTACACGCCGTTAAAAGATTGTATGCTGCTATGTTAGTCAGTCCTGTGCTCTTGGACCGATTTCGCTGCAGAGATGTTGGCTTTTTTTGTCCTACCGCATTGGTTCCTGCAGGTTTAAAAAGTTAATCCCGCCAGTTTCATCAACGTGTTTCGTCCGTTAAACCCGGACTTTATTAAAAGTTTAACGGACGAAACGCGTCGATGAAACGTGCGGGATTAACTTTTTAAACCTGCAGGATACCGGAGACCACCCTGATTATACAGAAACAAAGAAAATCTGGTTCTGGTAGTATTTCTGGAAAACCTGCAGTTATTCCTGAAAAGCCTAGTACAGGCCGTACCCCTGCATCTGTCTCCCCTACTAATCCTATGAGGACTTGGGCAGCTGCAGCAATGGCAGCAAATAGCTGTGAAGAATCAGATGTGAGAGGAACGGCCATGACCACGGCACTTACAGAGACACAGGGAGCGTATGCTCCCTGTCGCTCAAAGCCTCTCGCAGGCAGACAGACCAGCAGTCCCACAAACTGACACGGAGGTGTCATACGCAGCTGCTGCTCATACGGCGGGGAGCCACAAAGTGAAAGTAACAAATGCGTATGCAGTCACTATACCGCCAACATTGATGGAAACTGACATAGATGATGACAGACAGGCTAATGCAGGGCTGTGACTGTCTCCTGCGACAAGTATAACAGCAGGGAGCCATGTCCATAGAGAGTCTAAGGAGCCCAGGGAGAGCCCTGTGAGAACCAATATGAACAAAATATACAAAGATTAATGAGGGGACCTCCAGGCTCTTTAGCAACAATGAAGCAAATATGTGAAATGCGCCAAATTATGAGACAAAAGCTAAGAGAGGATAAAAGAAGATTTTTCACAAATTAAATACAGTGTTGCTGATTTACAGCATAGAGCTGATTATGTTGATGTAACATTATTGCAACACGAGTCAAAGCTTACTGAACAATTTAAAGCTATGCAGACACAATAAAAATCTGCAAACACAAAACTCCCTGATTTGGAAGACAGGAGCAAGAGGAATAACATTCGTATCAGAGGTATTCCGGATACTATCCAACCAACTGAATTGGAAGATTATTTGAAGGCAGTAATTAAATTAGTTAAACCCCATATTACTGATGTAGATCTTCAAATTTACCATATACACAGATTACCTAAACCTGCTTCTGCACCTAAGGAGATACCTAAAGACTGCAAAACTTCACAGCAGCTTTAGGATCGGGGGATAGCATTCAGAATATAGCTATATTAAAATATTTCAGGATCTTTCTCCTGTCACCATGCAAAGACGTAAAGAATTTGGTCAATTTACCTCAGAATTACGTAGCAGAAATATACGCTATCGCTGGTCGTTTCCAGTAAAGGTTATGTTGCAGATAGATGGTCGTAATTATGTAGTTGCTACTCCCAAGAAAGGAATGGAGGTGCTGAGCGCTTTATCTGTTACAAATCAAACTACACCAGAAAAGTCGACTAGCTGGACACCACCAACACCACAGCCACAACAGAGAAAGATGAGGAGGATGGACATAATGCAGTAATGAAACTTAGAAGGACTAGTTCTGTTAACATATTTTTGACTGATTTTAAAATTTATTTTTTCCTTTTCTTTCATCATTTTCTTTTAAATTCTTTTTAAAATTATGTCTATTTTTTTCTTTTTCTCCTCTATATGTTTTGCTACTTCAGTTATTTTTACCATTATTAATTATTGTTCCCTTATTTTTTTCTGCATATTTAATAAGCAATTTTATTTTGACTTGTTTTATGTAATCTTTCATTGTGCCTCAGTGTCCCTTCTCACTTATCCCCTAACAGGCCTGTATAATTCTTAAGAGGGATATTTTCTACATCCCCTCTAAAGGCCTAACCGTTTGTATATATTTTAGTCATTTTTCTTCTTCATTTTTTTAATTTGCATTTTTTATTTTATCATTTTTTTGTTTAGTTTTTTGTCCCTCATGGGACATTTGCTCCAAGTTTTTGTCCCTTATTTTTTCTTATGTTGTTTGATGTTATTTGATATTTATACATATACATTATCTGGACTATATTTATGAAAAACATTGGTCTATTAAGACACATTGTTTAAGTTTATTTAACCGGTACATTTCCAATCAAGATCAGGTGGGTCATATATATGTAGATAGACAAAAAACATGTGGGATACGGCTGTAGAAAATCTAAAGAGGAAACATAAAACAATACATAGTGTAACACTGTTAAAATAAGACAATCATGCACCACAATTGAATACACTCACAAGATTGAAGCGTATAATGCACTCAAAGGTGCCTCCCCCGATGTTGTTGGGTGACTTTTTTTCTCGCACTTCCACTCCAATGAGGTAGATGTAAAGTAAGACTCCAATAGGTATAGGTAGGAAAAATATCAGCAGCTTTATTATAAAAAGGTGAACAATCACCATCAGCTTGAGTTATAAAATTGAGGAATATAGGTCCTACGCGTTTTGTTCCAAAAAGTGGAACTTCCTCAGGGACCAAATCACAATAATATTACAACAGTAAAAGCATATGTAACAAAATCCTATAATATCCCCCCTATGAGTCTCTATATATAGGGCTTATCCCTGTGTCCATTGGTGGATCAGTGGGTGTTTCCACCGGTCCAGGAATCCCATTGGTGCAGGTGTAGTACCTATTCAGGTGTAGGTGGTCATCCAATCTTCTTCCAGATCGAAATTGGTGCATCTAAGTGTAGCCGGAACCGGAAGTAACTGCTGTCCTTTACTTCCGCGTTCCAAATC